TAACGAACGTACACGTGGGCGGGACCATAACGGAATTCTGAAAGCTCTCCCTACATTTGATATGCTGTAGTTACTTTTTCTGTACATTCGCCTATATTTTTTCTGTAAACGAGTGATATCATTTTCAAGTCAGTTTGGGATGATGCAACTAAGAACTTCTGATAACCTAGGATTGATAACAAAGCATGATAACTTCTTGATATCAGTACCAACGTTGATAAAAAACATACATGTTGGTATAGGGCAAACATCCATAAACTATATCTTGGGTATAAATTGGACGTCCAGCATAAATATATTGAATGTCCGTATTTGAACTGGGAAGAAATTCTTGTCGTTCGTGTGATGTATTTTGTTCTTTCAGCTCCATTGTCGAAATTGTTTTTGAAAATTTGAATATTGCGTATAACTCCACTTTTCTCACAGTCCCTGTATACTTTCTTGACGACATTCTAAAGATGTAATGGCAATTCATAACAATTTGTGCTTTTACATGTTAAGTATTTGTTTTTTCATTTATACTGAAATCCCTATTTGTTTGTTTCTGGAATGAAAGTAATAGTTCTTATAGGTATTTTCGTACCCAAGTTGTTTTGGTGGAACTTTTTCTTCTAGCTTCTTTCCCGAACAAATATAATAATGTGAATTCAATCAATCAATCACTCAATACCTTATTGTCATAAAGAACATGGAATTCTTGTGGACAAAACATTCATATGAATAAAAACACTAAATACTAAAAGCTACAATTAGTCAGTCAACATATATGAAACAAGGAAACAAGTAAAACAAAGGGTTTTGGCACATTTGTATAAAGGAGAATTGAGTTTAACGCAATAAAAAAACTAATTTAATTAAAAGGTATCTGCATAAAATTCTTCCAAAGTATAATACGGAAGACTACACAGCAAGAAGTAAGCCTTTTTAAAATTATCTAAGGTGTTAATTTCTCTTAAAAAATCAGATAAATGAACATCTTGCAACCATTATGAATAATAGAGTCCTTCACTAAAGTCGAGATCGGTCTGGGTAAGTTAATATTGTTTTGCTTGCGTCTAGGATAGACGTAATGAATTTATTCAGATGTTTTTTAATCAGACATGCAAATTGTCTCTGCTATGAATGTGGTAACAACAGTATGTAGCTTATGCAAGACAAAAAGTCGTTTGCATGGATCACGTGCCTTTGCTTTAGAAATGTATCAATTTTTTTTGTGTAATCAAGATGCTTTTCATGACATTATTATTGCATACTCCCCAAAATGGGGAACCGTATCTCAGATGGGATTCGATTAATGCATGGTATACTATTTTTACAGCAGAAGATCCCAGTTCTTGTGATTCCATTTTAATAGCAAAACAACCAGAGGCCAGTTTTTTATTTAAGTACATTGCTTTAAATTTGTTCAAGATCATATGCATTTTTTTCATTCCTNGAACCGTAATCTCAGATGGGATTCGATTAATGCATAGTAGGTATACTATTTTTGCAGCAGAAGATCCCAGTTCTTGTGATTCCATTTTAATAGCAAAACAACCAGAGGCCAGTTTTTTATTTAAGTACATTGCTTTAAATTTGTTCAAGATCAAACATTTGTGTTTAGCTTTTTACTTTTTTGACTAGTCCAAAAAGTTTTCTCATGTATTTAATCTTGTAATTGTGTATGTGTGAAAATTTTAGTGATGAATAAAAACTGTTTATTTTTTTGCATGCTCTTCAAATTTCAAATTATTGTCAATGAACACCCCTTGGAACTTAGTGTTGTAACGGCTCTCTCATTTGCAAAAATTGTAAATTTACCCTAGATACATATTCTCATCAAACCAATAATGTATAAAAAAAGGGTGGGGCCCAGTATGGACCCTTGTGGTACACCACAGTTAAACAGTGCTTTGTCAGAAACGGATAAAGTTTCAACCATTTGTGTGCGATTAGTCAGGTAGGATTCTATCCAATTGTTTACTACTCCTTTGAAGCCATAATGGTGAAGTTCAATCAGTAGTATTTGATGATCAACACAGTCAAAAACTTTGCTGAAGTCGCAGAACACGCCGGAAATTTAAAACGGGAATTAAAATGGTAGTTTTCAGGAAGTCTGGGAATATACCTCTCTGAAATGAGTTGTTCATTAGGGTGGCCAAGGCATGAAGAGCCTCATCTGGCAGGTTTTCAAGAACTCTTTCAGAAATTTCGTCAATTCCATGCGTTTTTTATTTATAATTGATGACATGATTTCTTTTAACTCACTAACATCCAAACTATAAAATAAGAGTGACTGAGAAATGGTAAAGTTGACAAAGTGTTTCATATAGCAAATAATTCTACAATGCCAATTTGAATCATGCTATATTGGGAAATTGTTTAAATGTTATTTGGTAAATCCTTATAGGCAATGTTTCCTTTGTTCTGGAATATGCAGATTCAGAGTATTTGTTACCAGATTATTGAGCTGTTGTTTGATTATCACGTAAGACTGTGAATGAAAGATGCATGCTTGCAGTTTATAAATAGAATTGATATCAAGTAAAAAAATTGGTTTGCATAGATTTCTAGTTGGTTTCAGGAAACGCAGATAAAAAATGCATTTTAAGGCTTTATTTTATGAAAAACTTCTTAACGGTTTCAAAGTCATAGTTGGAGAAGTAATTTTTAATGAATAAGTGGAAAATAAATTAGCTTCAGATACTTAAGAGAAATATAATTTCTTATAGTATTTCTATGATTGGCTGGCTGGCACCACCTCCCGAAGACCTTAACTTGGTTGATGAAACTCGCGTCGAAAAGTGTTGCTGTCTGTTGTTAGTGAACAGTGCCTGTTCTCAATTTTGTCTACACCTGGGGTTCAGTTTTATCTTCCATTACATCAATATCGATATTTTACAAGAGTTTTTTAATCTATATGTGGACCTGAAAACCTAACACTAGTTGAGCTTCCAATTTTCTTGTGTCTTGACATTAATGATTTGGGAGAAATATCCATCAGCCTCCATTTGTTATTGTTTTTGACAAAGAAAAGTTTTGGCTTTCTGCTTTACCATCTTGAAACAAAAAATGGGGGAATCTTTCAAAGAATGGGAGAAAGGAATCAATTTCAAAAAAGTAACTATACAAAGGTTTGTAGATCATGCAACGAAGTAACTTCCAGACACAAACTGGAAGAAAAAAGCCCTCTTAACAAAGTAAAAATTAAATAACACAACTTTACATTGATTTGTGATTTAGAGACAAATTATACAAAAATAAACGCTCACTATACAAACACAATAATACTTTAAAAATAATTACAATTACTTCAATAACTGATATTGTCATGAGGTAAAACCAATAGAGCAAATAAACTAAGCGGGAATATCAAAGAACCGAGTCGCTCACTATTCAAAATCAAATAGAATTGGCTAAAAACTTAAAAACTAGAAAATGACTATCTCCTTTTCTCAATGTCTCACAGCCCATACAACATCCAAGACATTCACATCCTGTACAAATTAAAACCTATGCGAATTAGTATCCCGTGCGCTTTCTACTCAATGTTCTACAGGGTGTCTCGTCAGAGTTGATACAATGCAACTGATGTAAAGAAACTCTTGATATCTACAATTCATCGTTTCAGAAATCTGGACTCCTGGAGACACCATGCCACAAACATAAAAATCATCATGGAATGGTGAAAGGAAAATAGAAAACAATTCCAAACAAATATAAAGTTAACAACATAAAAACAATGTATTGTTGGCAACTGGATGCAATTTCTAACATTCGTAATATTTGTGATGGATATTTTGAAGAGGTTTGTCTCGAGAATCTTTTATTATTAATAACTTAGAACATATTCAACAGGTTGTTTACGATTTTATAGTCATAATTTTAGACGTAAATAGATCGTATAACTCTGAATAGAAATACTTTGGCACAATTCGGACAAAATAATTATTGTGATCTGTGTGTATTCACTAAGTGACGAATTTTCTTCGATCGATTCATAACTGTCACAGTGATTGTTCTTCGTGTTATCGTGTTTTTGAACAGGGAAAATGTCAATATGTCTTATATTTCTGGAAAAGGGCACCGAAATGTTGTAAAAACAACTAGACCTTACTTGCCGAGTTGCAGATTTAAGAAAGGAGTTTTAGGAATGTAGTTCAATGTGCTTCAGAGTCTGATGTATCGGAGAATATTGGGGCATAGTAACTACCTTCATATGCTATGTGATAACACAATACACTGGAAATACCGAAATATTGTAATTAAATTGCAAAAGATATATTCGGAAAAAAGTATATTTTGACTGGGTCAAAATCTTGAGGCTGGAAGAAGAGAGAATTTCTTTGTTTGGCCAATTTTCTATAACTTATGGCTATATTCTGTGGCTTGTGGCTATATTATAGTAACGTATAATATAAAACTTATCGCTTGTATCTTTTGCATTCTGTCACTGCCTTAACGTGTAAAAGATAATTTGAATATGTTGAACTTGTTTTCTTATTTACATAAAGTTTGTGGAGATCAAATCATAAGGTGTACTTTATGAAATTCATCAAAAATAATTTCATCGAAACTTTATTTGATAATCTCAGTATTTAATTGATGAAATTCCATATATTCAGTTTGTTTACAAGAAGTAGCGATAAAAGGAACATAATATGTTTAACTTTTCTAGAAGGACGATGATCTCGGCACTAACGTTGATCCTTCAGATTAGAATGACTGCAATCAGATAACAAATATCAGCCAACTTTTTTAGACAATGCAAACGACAAAAACACTTCCTAAATGTATGAAATTACATGGGAGAGGTTTTTCAAATTGAAAAACAGATTGAACCTTTTCAACAGAGAGTTGAAACATTGAATTAAGTGTCCTCTTGCCATTCATAGCATTTAAAAGAAGTTTTTAAAATAATTACGCTTATTTGGAATTATGAGAACTGAGGAAAGGCAAGGGCCTTACCTTCAATGTGTGAATGACTGTATAAACATAATTGATATAGCCTTCGAAAATAGAAAAATATATTTAAAAAAACTAGATCTCACTTCCTTTGTATAATTGTTGAAGTATTGAAAACTCGTTCCAAGGGAATATTTTAGCAAAATCTAGTACACTCATCCCAGTCAGATTAAAACAACGACAAAAATTATTGAATATTAGAAATTGCATAAGTCATCTTCGTTAATCAAGCATTTCTGAAATTTGCCACGCCAAATTTTTAGTCGAACGTTATAAAAGTATAAAAGTCCTACCGGATATTAAGGCTTTTGAAGTATCATTAGTGATTAGTTTAGAAAAAAAAAGAGAGAAATTTCACAGGCAAATTCGTATAAACACTAAATGACCACGAACACAATTGCATTTTTATAATGCTCACAACATAAAAAAAATCACTCGGCCGCTTGTTAACACCGAACCGACAATTCGAGGAAAAGTTTCTTCTAAATTTCAAATAAGTAATAAATATAATCATTTATCAGTTGCGTAACAAATCACTAAAATATCAAAACGAAAATAGGATTACAATTTAAAATTGGCTAGTTTGGAAATAAACAATTGAAGTGTGAACTCTTAATTGACACCTCTAGTCGGAAAGCACACTCAACGTGTTGGTCAAGACAATATTCGAAAGAAGTATAATCGAGAAAAATCTGAGAGCATACTATAGAAATAATGTCATTACGCAGCCTAAATTTTGCAACACTGCCATTGAAGCAAAAAGCTTGAAAATTCATTCATTTGTAAGAATTACAAAAAAGAATATTACAAAAATTTAGAGTGACTCGTAAAAAAGGTTATTATGAAAGTACAACTTTCAATATTTAAAGTAGAAAAAATTATGCATTCAACATGAAGTGAAATTAAATTTCAATTTCATTTGATGAAGAATAATACTGCTTAGCGATGAAATTTATAAAAAATGGCAATGAAAAATAAATAAACAGGAACTTCAATGGCCAATAATGTGTCAATCATGAGCTAGATCAGAGGTCGCCAACCCGTCGATCACGAGCTACCGGTATCTCGCTAAGCCTATTTGAGCATCTCACAACATATATTTCAACACTGTGGTGAGCGATCTACCGTCGATGCGACGTCTCCACCGGTCATCACGCTAGATCTCAAATACTTTGAATCAAAGTAGTTCAACACACTGAAAAGGTTGGCGACGGCTGAACTAGATGAATCAGTCTAAAAACAAAAGGTCGACCCACCTCCCTCTCTCTATTTACCTAAAATAACCATCTGAACTCTGATCCACACATTGAGTGCCCTTTTCAACAAGACATTCTCGTTAATCAAAAGCCAGCTAAAAATCTAATGCGACGCTCTTTCAAGCTGTGCTAGAATTATGTGACACTCCAGTAACGACGCTGAACACCCCCATACTATTTCTTTTGAAACTACCTGTTTCCTCGTGAGGCCACAGAGATTCGCCGAAGAGAGCAGACAAGGACGAACAGAGCTTTTTATAGTTTTGGCGTAATACTTCTTGGTATTCTTGTTGGTCTTGCGCTATCAACTTGCTGTTGATTTGCATGAATAATGGTATGAGAAATGTAAAAAAATTTGTTAAAGTTTAAATTCAGTAAGAAAATTACTACAGCATTGATGAATTTTACCGTGATTATCTACCTCAATGCATAGAAATGATGAAAAAGTTGGACAATAGGCAGCTTTTACAGAGTTTTACAGCGATTATTTGCACTAGATCTGTTTAACCTGTTGAAATTATCACACTTCGGTAAAAGACATACTATCTAGAGATCGGTGCTCATGACGTGAGCTGCTAACATAATATTTTTTGAGCAACAACCAATTTTGAAAAAGGGTTATGAAATGAAAGTTAATAAATTATGAAGAATATTGCTTTGAGACTCAAAGATTGGGCTTTAACACCAAGAAACGGAATAGTGATGATTACAAAGAAAATGTTATCAAGACTCTCTGGGAAACAACTGCAAAGAAGACAAAGAAACTCTCGGAGAACAGAGCCATTGAATCTGGTGTACCACAGGGTTCTGTGTTAGGCCCTATTCTGTTTCTGCAATATATGAATGACATATCTATGATTAACATATCTGGTAGTTTCACTCTATTCGCGGATGATACTACAATATTGTGAAAAGAAAAAGACTCAATGGAGCTAAATAAAATAATATCATCCGACTTGAAGAAGGTGAAGAGCTGGTGCGATGTAAGTTTACTCTCTCTAAATGCACCCAAAACGAATATAATATCATTCAAATGTTCGCTTGATGACATTTCAATAGACGCTGACGTATTACAAAATAAATTAAACACGAAGTTTCTCAGTGTATTAATTGATAAAAGGTTGAAATTTGATGAACACCTTAAACAACTGAAGAGTAAGATCTCCTCAGGATGTTATGCAGTTAGAGAAGTTTCAAATGAGTTGGGTTTCCATGTCGCAAAGACCGTTTACCATGCACTTATTGAATCTCGACTACGTTATGGAATACATTTTTGGGGAGCATGCAACTCATCCCTTCTCTCTTCTGTATTGATATTACAGAAGAGGGCACTAAGATGTCTCTGTAAAGTCAAACCCAGAGAATCGTGCAGGAATTTTTTCACTACCAATAAAATTTTAACAGTCATCGCACTTTTTATCTTAGAGACAGTTTGCCTCATTTATAAACATAAATCGAAGTTCAACTTTGCTTCTACTCCTTATGCTACTCGCAATAGCAATTATACCTTTAGACTTCCCATCCCAACTTCGAATTTAATCAAGGATTCCATATACTACAATGGTGGTAAATTGTTCAATCATTTACCATCAGAAATGATATCTGCAAATTTAAGCAACATTCATTTCAAAAAGGCTGTGAATAACCTACTTGTGGATAGACCCTATTATAGTTTGGAAGAGTATTTTAGCGAATCCTTTTTTTATATTTACATTTATTCATTTTTGGAACTTTTTTACACCTACATTTATACTTTTTTAGTATTTTTTTTATATCAACATTGTATTTCTTGGACTTTGTCAATAAGATGCAAATCTTCGGACAATAAAGTATATTTTGATTTGATTTGTAAAATACAAAAAATTGTACTTCGAAAATTTCAAATCAATTTTTGACCACGTTAAAGATATTGTTTTCTAGTCAGCTGGAGATGCTCGTAATTCTAAACGAAAAGAATTGCAGAAAGGTACAAATAAAAGAAGAATTGGTTTGGTGGCTTTGAATAAAGATAATTATAGAGGAATGATTCTCTCATGAAGTGAAAATGAACCGGCAGGATTGCAGAGAAAAGTCTTTCACATAATTTAAGAGAAGTTAGCATGGAGAGGAGGGGAGGCTGTAAAAGGTTCAGGTTATTCCTTCTCTGAAGAAACAGAAAATAGAGGTCAGCCAACAGGTAATTACGATCAATCAATATTTACTAGTGAATGATTTTAGCTAGTTTCACTACTCTCTACACTATTTGTTTTATGTACTTTCCGCCCATTTCTGTAATATAGAGTAGCTATTAGAGCTGTAAGAAATAACTTGTAATGTTTAGGTGCCTAGAAATTCGAATCCCACCGTAGGCATTTTTTTTATGAGAAATGACAACTAATTTGACAGATGTAGCTTCGTTATCAGTTGTCAAAGTTCCGAAGTCCCTGTCGGAAGACCCTATAGAACAACCCAATACCTCCAAAATAAATTCAGAACCAACATTGCATGTTGATGAAAGAAATGATCACAAAGTGGGCAATGCAGAATATCAAACACCAGTTATCTACAAAAGTTGATAATCGTTCTAATGAAACTAAATGTAATTAAATTAAATTTTCTGTTTTCAATTTTTAAAGCATCTTAATTAGATTGAAATCACCCATGGGTTGGGCTAACTATCGGGCGCGTCCCCAGGTGGCGGACAGGGGAACGGCCAGGGGACTGGAGGCCCTGTCCAAGAAGCCAATGTGGCCTGACAGACGGGGTCGCCGGACTCCTGGTCAGTGGCAGAAATAAGTGGGGTGAGGGAAACTAAAACCCCTCAGAAGATGCTACCTTGGATCAGCCTACCCAAGCTAAGGTGTAAGGAATCGTGTCGACAGCTGAGTGATCGTAGGGTGATATGCGGTCACGAACGATCCCCTTGGGGAACTGGGCAAAACTTCATTGCCCTACCTCTGGTAATGCGGGGCTCTGCCAGAGCTGACCAACTCTTCCCTTGCTACTTGTGGGAACACACATGAATGAAACAACAGAAACAACAAAAACCAATTCCAAGGCTGGACAGAAATGTCCACCCCAATCTACCGCTTGGAATGAGGCTGGACATACATAGCATATCACCTCCAACAGCAAAAGCACTTCCTGTGGTGGGCGCCAAAAGCTCTGCCTTGAATAAAGGCAAGGAACCGGCTGCCCATGCAGGAAAGCTTCCTCACTTGTGCACCTCCACGGAGGGAACCCCAAGAAGATTAAAGAAGCAGCGCAATGACAGTAATATCACTGCACCTTCCAAGACCTTCGCGGAAGCCACCGTCAGACACCTTAAGGTTGCCAAAGAAAGTGCGTGTTCGGCGAATCTTGGCCTACACCTGCCAATATTAGGGAGATGTCTCCTAGTGACCTGCTCACCTTCCTGGAAAGGACAGGATGGACGATGACCTAGGAGGACAACTCCTCGAGAGGATGTACAATGAGTCACATGTGGCCTAAGTGCTGTGAGTCTACACTCACCCTCCCTTCTCTACAGATACAGATGAATTGAAGTCAATATCAACAAAGAAATGTTCCAATTTTTTTTTTAATAAAAAAATTCCAATAAAATATTACCTGAAAATATCCTTCAGGTCTTCCACTTTATCTTCGGGATACACGCTAGAAAGTGTTGGATCTAAGAAGACGTTTGCGTACGCCAGAGGGCCAGCATTCACTTGAACGCAGACGCTGCCCTGCAACCGCAGTTGTAATTTCTTGGCGTCTGTCGGTTTGGTGAAGACCACGTCTTCCAACTCCGCAACGCGCGTCTGCATTTCGTCGATGGCAACCTCGATGGGGGTCAGTTCTACTATGCGCCTTGATACAACCAGTATCCGCTTCTTGACGTATGGGAAGGAATAGGACGCTGCAAAATATATTGATCAATGCAAATATTCTTAAAAGAACATCGGCGATTCAAAAAAATAGAAATATTGTATACTGTCTTATATAAAATGATCCCTTAATACATTGACTCAATTAGTTAGTATAGACACTCCTGAAGATACCATTGTATAGCGAAACACATGTTGCGTTTTTGAAAAACTGTTTAGTGAATATCTCACAATGAAGTGTTTCTTGAATATGTTATGGATTTTCATCAACTATCTGCCAATTCCAATTGCATATTTCATTGGTTCATTTTGCCAATTGAAATGAAAATGCCAAAGAATTTTTTTATTCTTAACACTGTCATAGTGAAGTACGAATTAAACCAAATGAAAAATACAAAACATTACAAAAAAACAATAGATATAAATCATACCAACTAAATATTCACAACAGAAATTAACAGTTAGTTATCATT